TGGCTGACGCATTCTACTGCATAGCTCCAGAAACATGGTGGTAACCCCGCTTCCAAGAGACAAGTTGCGGTTGTCATCATAATGAACTGATTGTTCCTCTCCGCCAGAGAATTGTTCTGAGGATGATTCGGTAGAGAGTGATCGAATGGGATCTTCAGCTGCTTCATAGCCGTCTCAAACTCTGGGGCTTTGTCGGCATAAGCAATCTTGATCTTCTTCAATCCTTTGAAGTGGTTTATTGCATTGACCACGTCCTTGGTAAACCTCTCTTTCGACGGATAGGCCCATATGACGCCTGTGTACCTGTCACGAATGACGAAGATCTCTCGATCAGTACTGGTCCCTTGATCAAGGATGTTCCTCGTATCGACAAAATCAAAGGTAACCAGATCTCCAAAAGCTTTGAGCTTTCTCTTGAACGCTCCTCGATGCGTCTTGAAGTGTTTCATCTTTGCTCTGATGCATGACTCACAGTAGGGATTCTTGTAACGATGTGTGAGTAGATGCTCGATTTTCCTGGCATCTGCTTTCAGAGTTCCTCTTCTCACCATTCTACTTGCACCGTCAACAACATCCACCTCGATGTCATCTGCATCATCATCGTCAACTTCTGGTTCACTGTCTCCGGCGACATCTGATCCTACCTCATCTTCTTCTCCAGGAGATGCCTTGAACTTCTTATTCCTCTTTCGTCTTTTGACTTTTGGAGGCTCAATCACAGGGAGGTCGTCATCATCACACATGACGCCTTGAGGATCCACATCACAGTTGATGAAAGCCGATTGGTAATCAGCTTCACCTTCTCCTAGGGTGAACCTTGCGATCATCTCCGCCCTTACATCGTCGGTGGGGTTACAGAAGTCACTGCCCTTGACAATATATGGGATGTTTCCCTCTACTTCTAACATGATTTTCTTGTAGTTCGGGGAAACCATGTACGGGTTGCCGCAGGCTGGCCATATGAATGTGTAACCTTCCTCCATGCATTTCTTTCCAACAGACAGTACTGAAGGAGACTCATCTAAGACGAATGGGGAGTAGGTAGAGTCAAATTCGTCGAAATGAATGTCGGCGACTCCCTTTGTGGATGTCACTCCATTTGCGGTATAGAATGACATTGATTGGTCGCTTTCTCTGACTTCCAGACCTAATTTCTTGGCTCTGCCTTTCGATATCAAATCATACCCACATCCTGTGTCCATGATGAACTTTGTTCTTGACCCTTTGGCTGGAATAGACAATGTCTTTGTGTCTGCATGATCTTTCTTTCCCTCGCATACATGAGGAATGACTTTATGATGGAAAACTAGGCTGTCATCTTCGTCAAAAGACATAGTGACCGCTAGGTCACCCTTTGGTCCAACTGGTATTCGGACCCTCTTGATCTCAGTGTAGGGGACCATCAATATGCCTCTTGCCTCTGCGACCTTTTCTTCAAATCTGATTTGTTCTTTCCTCGTGTAGCAGGTGAGCTCTTTCTCATCGTATCGTTTGATGTCCGGACGTAGAGGTTTCTTTTCTACTACCTTCCATTTGTCCCTGACTGAGTAGATCGCTTCGTTCAACATGATCTCACAAGTCTCTTCATCAAAGGATACTTTTGCACCTCCTTCTCTTGCCTTGGCGGATGCAGCAATCCCTTCATCTTCGGATTCGTCCATGAAGAGTTCACCGTCAATGGCTGGGGCTCCAGGCTTCGCCTTAGGCTTCGGTTTGGGTTTTGCCTTGGGCTTTGGCCTATCGTCTCCTGAGTCAGCTGGTGCAGATATCCCTTTCTTAGGAGAGGCTTTTGGGTCATGGTAGAACTTGCAATCCTTCCCTTTGTCACAAGTTCCTCGAATCCACATCCAACATACTGGCTTGTCATTCTTTCCGACAGAAGATCCTCTGGATGGTGATCTGGGTTTCTTGTGACTGAATGGGCAATCTTTCCCCATAGTGCAGTTACCTTTCACGAAGTATTTGCATGGTATCTTCTTCTTGTCTGTACTCGGACTTCGGCTGCGATCCTTTCCATCACCTTTACCTTTCCCCTTTCCCTTTTTGTTCTTGTCTTCAGGATGCTTCTTGGGACTGGGTTTCGGCTTCACTGCAGCAGCGTCTTCTGAGACAACCTGTTCTTGTTGCCCTTTTGGTTTCTTCTTCGGATCAGCTGGTGCAGCTTTCAGTTTTGGAGCAGGTCCGCCTGGTTTGAGATTCTGAAAGATATTGGCCACATTCTTCACTGCCTTCTCCTTTTCCAGGATCATCCTGTCTTCAGTTTGCCGTTCGATGTGCCTTCTGATCATATCACGTAGATGTTTGTATGTCTTCTTGGCATCATCGTCGTTCATGCTGTTGTAGGCGCTGATGTCGTATGCCATGAGGTTTGAGTTCCTGATCTTTCTCCATAGGAGATCCCGAAGAGTTTCGTCGCTCGGGACGTCAACGGGCTTCATTCCTGCCAGAATCTCATCCCAAGTGTGGAAGAACAACGATAAGTTCTTGTCTCCTTGATATTCTAGTTGGTAGAGGTGCATTGAAGTATATAAGACTTCCACATTTGATGTTGTCTTGAAATTCATAAGGATCAGGGCTAGGACCTCTCTTCCCTTTATGAGGCTTGATGTTCTCCCTTTTGCATTGATCCTCGTCCTCAACTTCATAGCTACACCTGAACCATCATCTTTCGCATCCATGACGACCTTGGTAAGAGCTAGGCCGAGTTTGGCATCGATTGAATGGAATCTTTGGTCTCCTGAGTCGACAAACTTGTCCGGATCAGGATCGTCCATGGCTTCTTTGATCCAGTCGATCCAGGGCTCTTGATCTGAATCATTGGCCGCAATGATGATCGATTGAATGAGATTTGCCTTCCATAGTCCAAGATCATTGATCCTGGGCCATGACGGAACGTTTATCTTTGATTCTTCCTTCCTCGATACTTTCATGATTGTAGAGGTTGCCGGTGCAAGATGAGATGAAGAGGATGCTTCTGCTTCTGAAATCTTGTCCCTCAATGATTTGTTCGCCTCGGATAGCTCAATTGATTTCTCCCTTTCCTCGGCGTACTCATTGTGGGTTTCGGCATACCATTCATACATCTCATCTCGGCTCTCTGTCATTTTATTGTACCCGTCCTTGTAGTGCTTCGCCTCCTCTTTTGCGTTCCGAATCTCATCTTCCTCGGACGCGTGGGTTGGTAACCCGCGGTCTCTGGAACTAGGACGCTTGCTGTACCGAGAGACTATGGGTGCCATTCGTGTTTCTGCTTTTAATTTCGCATTTTCCATAATGACATTCTTTGTCTCCTTCTGGCTTTCCAATAGTGCATTCTCCAGTTCTCTGATCTTCTGTTGAATTTCAGCACCATCATCGCCGAACATAGGAGCTCTCATCATATTCTCTCTTTTCAGCTGTGCGTTGGCTTCGGATAGAGCGAGGTTGGCGTCTTTCAACTGTTGTCGTTCACGGATGGAACCTTCTAGGACTTCGTTGTTGAATATTTCTCCTTTTGCGATAACCTCCTTTGCGACGTTTGCTTCGTATTCATGGTGGCTCGCCTTCATTTCTGCCATTTCTTTAGCAGAGACTTCAGTCTGGCATACAAATATCTCCATCCTCATGCCCACTTCCATCTCTTCTATCTCCGCTCTCGCGTTGAGTTCAGCTCCACGTGCCATAGCTAGTTGACCTCGTAGATGATCAATAACCATAGCTTCCTGATTGCTCTGATCTTGAGATGAGTGAACACTGTGTTGAAGACGTCTTTCCCTGACCTCACTGTTCCATTGTTCTTCTCTCTGGTGTTGGATCACCCTGTGCATGTTGACATTCTCATCCTGTAGCGCAATCATTCTAGCTTGTATCTGGTCAGCTATTCCGACGAAGGCTGTGTTCTCATCCTGAATGGCTTTTGATCTTCTATTGATCGCCAATGAAGATTCATTCTGTTCTTGGATGTGTCCAATTGCTGCTTGAAGCTCTTGGGACATTCTGTCCTTCGTTGCTTTCACAGATTCAAGCTCTGAATGTTCTTGATGAGTTTCTTGTGCAAGCTCTTGATATCTCATGTAGATATGTTCAGCTGTCGATTCCGCCAAGCGTAGCTTGTGTTCGAGCTCTTCAATTCTTATTGTCGCTCCTTCATCTTCCTGTGTCATCTTTTGTAGATGTTCCTGCATCTTCCTGTTGTAGTCAGACATTTGCCTGAACTCCACTTCAGCCTCGTGGTGTAGTCGTGAGTATCCGGCTTGGATGCATTCATATTCTTCATGAAGAAAATTGTATGCGTTTCTCGCCGATCTCAATTCTTCACCCAGCTGAATCTCTCTTCTTTGTTCTTTTGTTCCTCTATCATCGTCACGTCTCTTCTCTATACTCCTTCTTGGGGATCTCGCGGTAGACGTTATAGGCGATGTAGATCTTGTTGTAGCTCTCATCGATCTTCTTGGTCCTACGGGTGCAAGATCGGTCAGATTCCGAGCCGGTGGCACGGATCTTTCCGAGATTTGTGATCCAGTAGGCATAGTGATAACGTCAGCATTTGCTGATGAGTCAGTACCCATTATAGAGTCTGGTGACGAAATGGTGTTGGGACCACCAGGAGCAGCGAATGAATAGGGTTCGCTTCCATTTCCTCCTGAGCTTGACATTGCAGGTTTCTGTAATGACTAGTCTTGTTCTTGGTCTCGTGTAGCTCGTACGGCTATAAAGAGCGCGTACGGCTGATAACCTGCGAGTGGATCTTAATCAGCGAAGTTTGAAGCTATCACTGACGGTCCATAAGCGGCGTAGCGTCGGAACGGAAACCGCACCTTTTCTAGTCGCTTGATCCTTGAGCCAAAGTACATATGGTACATATATATGTACAAGTTGCACTGTACGTGTCGCTGCACTTCCATTCGCATTCAAAGATTATAACCACCCAAGGTCAGGTAGGCCAGCTGAACAAAAAACAACCACCATGATACCCAGGAAGGTCGGTGTGTGGAATCGGTCACATCTCCGGTCCCAGCGGCACACGTTGTTCCCCAGAAGCAAGTGCTTCACCAGGCCCGCCTCGGCGTCGGTGCGGCGGGCGTTCGGCGGGCGTTCTCACCGGGGAGCAAGAGGGACGAGTGAGAGCACCGGAGCCCTCGGTTCCCTCCGCGAGGTTCTGACACGTGATCTCATCGAATCCTGGATCCACTGCTGCTTCGAATTCGAAGAGAGGGCGATGGAAAGAGATACTTTTCTGTAGCTGGAGGGTCCATTCTACGCGATCAGCAAGGCACTTGGATCAGCAAGGATGGCTTCGTGATACGAGTACTATGATGTCCTATTCATGCACGGTCTTTGCTCCCAAACCCTCCAACTGCTTGGTGAACCCCACACCTTCGTGAACGAAAGAAGCGAAGGAGCCCCGAACCGAAAGCCAGAGGTGACGCATAGTGAAACATCATCACAAAGCACAAGTATGGCAATTCATGTGCATAAGCTGGAAAAAACCTGCAAAAACACACATCTCATTGTGTCTGACTAACAGCAGCTGATTCATGGACATGAGCTGACTCCAACTCCTATGAATATAGCTGCCCTCCGGCTGAAGAACACCGTGTTCAGGATATGGATCCAGCAATACGCCAACGCGATAGTCCCCCCAAAACTCCCATGTCATGGCTCTCATGTGATCAGCCAATCATTGAACTCAAGGTCTGCTAGGTCAAACGCCTTTCCTCAAAAGGCCGCTTTCTTCCAAGAGTCGTTCTGATTGGCCGAAATCGATTGAAGCAAATCATCCACACCTTGAGGACCGATGACTTGTTTGCACAAGTCCAGTCGCTTATCTCCTCAGCTGACCCGTCAGGCCAAATGGCACAGTCATGTCAAGGGCTGCATGGATTTGCTCTGAGTCCCGAAAAAGTGAAAAAAAAGAAACGCAAGTCATCTGACATCATTTAAAAACACAAAAAGCACGTGCAGTCTGGTTCTTGTTGGTAGCCTGATTCCCTTGGTTCGGTTGCGAACCAAGGACCATCTCACATGAATAGATGTTTTCTCCGGGCTTCGGGTGATGGTTCCCTTGGTGAAGACTAAGTCGTCATTGATGTTGGGCTCAAAGGCATTTCCGCTCCTCAGCCGTCACACTCAGTCGGCTTGGCGGTGGCGCTCGCGGGAACCGCTTTCGGGTGCTCGGTCGTTGTGCCTTAACCTCTCGTGGGGTGTCGGTACTGGTGAATCATGCATGCCCTTTCTTAGCCTGCCAAACGTTTCTTGATTCCATTGGTGGCTGTGTTCGCTGCACAATGGTAGATATAACATTGCAACCATAATATTTGGAGAATAGGCAGCTAAAGGGCAAACATCACAAGGAAGTGGAACCATCAAGCCAACACCCCAGACTCGCAGGTCTGTTTTTTTACAATTGCACCATGAAGTCACCACCATTCACCAGTGCACTCCAAAAAACATGGACCATGGAAGTGGTACCATTCCAACAACCCCCCCTCAGAGTCCCCAGAACATGTACTGTTGGTACTGTTTCCATAGATGCGCCACTATTGGAACATTTGGATGTGCGGCTTTTACGCCTCCATGATTGGCCGCCGAAGCCCCGAGCCACTGAGCCCAGTCCCTTGAGCACCGAACTTTAAGAATGCGTAGAGTGGATTCAGCTGCTCCTTCGTTGAGATTTCGACCTCGTGTGTGAACCATCATCTGAAAATGCGGTGAAGAATGATGCAAAACACGGGGATCTTGAATGGCAACAGGGCGCAAAAAGTTCCCCCACGTGAATGATCACTTTTCACAGTCCACAGCCCCTCTTGAAGCTTACTAGCGACCACAGGTCATCAGAGGTCTATTTCGTTCTTTTCCATTGTCAGGTTGGGAAAAGATCGCAAGTATTACCAACCAGGCAATGGGTGTCCAATAGACTACCCAGCCCACTGCTATATAAGACCCAGTGTTATCAAAGCTTTACCGTGGTTTCAGAGTAGATGCCACAAGCCTCAAAAGGTGGTTTATTTGGACCCTATACCCAAGAGATCCCGGGAGTTGTGCCATCTAGTCTGGAAACCACTGTAACCGTTTTTTCTTTTCCAGGGCCTTCCGCCCAGTCGTGAGGTCCGAAGAAGCAGCATGTCACCATGCAGAACTCACCAGACTCCAAATCCGAACATGATTTGCATGCATTCGGCTTCTTGATGGAAGTCCAAACGTAACCTTGAATTCCACCTGCGCACCTGCGGAATACGAAGACACGTGGCGGCATTGCCAACACCCCAGTCACCCATGGGAAAATGGGCTCACTCCCGGGGTCATTTGAAATAGGGGGTCCCCCAGTGCTGAGGATACGGCAGGCATTGGCTCAGGATGCAGCACCTCATGTTCGGCGGATGGCTGCGATTCAAATTCCATGACTCTATGCCCATTCTATGCCCTATGCTGAACTGCTGAACCAAGTGTCGGTTGACTCGAAAAAAAACAGCATCCTTTCCCGCCATCAACTCCCCAGGTCTTCGCAAGACCCTGGCCGCCGCCCTCGCGGGTCTAAACAGTCTTCTCCCCACCGCTGCCCCGAGTCGCTGCCGTCTTCGGCACCGGTGACACCGGTGCCCAAACAGTCGGCCGAGCGGCGGCATCTGAGAGGGGTGATGCTTTCAGCGCCTCGAACTTGTTGATATCCATCCTGGGATGCGTATTCTTGTTTTTTTGGATGGTAACATTGTAGAAGGATCGTGATTTGCCATGGATTTGTGTAATTCTATTTTGGCATCCCTGAGTGTGAAGATACGTTTTTGTGTTGGGGTGGGGAATGGTTGGTTCCGACATGACGTGACCAAGCGCAAGCAAACCAGGCACACAACAAAAAAGCCAAGTATTACAGTATTACACTCCCTGAAGCAATCCTAGAAATGGAACATAGGGTTCTGCTCGCCTTCCATGCTTGTCTGAGGGGAGCTCCTGTCCAAGCTATGCTCCCCGCAATTGAAAGCACCCGCTGACCCTACTTCCCTGGAGGAAGTGATGCTGTTGGTCACACGCCGGTCACCCACTCCGCTGTAATTCCACTGCCCTTTCCCAAGCAAAGAATTGACACGCCTTAACCTACCTTGTGAGTGGTTGCAAAGGGTTCAGGGTTCATTATACGCATGCATATATAGTATATTCCAATCCCAGGCATGGTCTGGGTTTTGAGCTTCTCCATTCCCCTTTGTCCACCGCTGTCGTCCCCGACCCCACCGATGTCCAAGCATCCCTCCCATGCGCCACTGCTGGCGTCGATCGCCTACCGAGGCCCCGGAGCCCCGGATGTGGACTGCATGAGTTGGTCTTGAAGCGAGCACCACCTGCTTTTGGTTCGGATTCAGCACCTTTCTGCGGGGTCTCACACGTCTCTTGGGGTCTCTTGCCGTGGCATTTGTAACACCATGACCGGACGTCGACGTCGGAGCCATCGATAGCGCCAAGCTGTGGAATGAAACTGAACTTCGAATCGTATAGTGAATCGTCCAGTCAGCAGTCCACCTGTTGACATTCATCCAAATAACCTTAGCCATCTAACATCCATTGTAAAACACGATGGTTGGTTGTTTGGCCTCCACACATCAACGGTAAATGCATGTAAATATGTTAGTTCAAATCCTATAAGGTATAAATGGTATATACCATTGATTAGTATTATTACATGTATATTTGCTTATAAAATATATATAGTTTATTCTTTTGGTTTGTTGGTTTATTTGTTTGTGTGCGCGCGTGTCGCACAAATGCCCCCATCACCGGGTCCAGCCCGTCGGTGCATTGCATTGCATCAGGTCTGGTCGATTGGGGTGAGTGCATGTGGCGGTTGCGGCCTTTCAGCTTGGCTTGGTAACCATCGGTAAACTCATCCAGAAGTGCAAGAACATCCTTGGACGCTGCGGTTTCGGGTGTGTTGGCTTTGGAAGGTCCCGGCAACAAAGCAGCTCCCAGGGGGAAACATCCAACACCTGCCCACGCCCAGGTGTAGAGCCCCAAAGTGACAGCGGCCAACGTCAGAAAACCGACCAAATAGGCCTCGAATCCCTGTTTGCGATGTTTACTCCCCCCGGAACTAACATGGAAGTGGACAACCACCTGTTGTGGAAAATGGTCTTCCAAGGGGCCATTCTCCACTTCCATGTTAGTTCCAGGGAGTGTAGCTTGTGGCGCTGCAACACCAAAGGGAACTTTGAGGGGTCTGAAGGTTCAAGCCCTCGCGGGATGCCTGCCATGCGAAGGAACCTGTCTATTCCAACTGCAAAAGAACTGGTGCAATCATGTGACAATGATCTCTTTGGGACCAGGTCTGCCTTCCCTTAACCGACTCAACATGAAGAGCCATGGCTTCACATAGAGTAGAGCTTCAACCGCCAAGTCTTATCACCCACTGACAGTTCTGATTTCATGTCATGGCCCCACGCCACCCAGCAAGTTCCCTGCAACCACGTGCAATCCCAGACACGCTCAGCACTTTGCCTCATCGGAAACCGCCCCCGGCGGATCCAAGTTGGGATGGTTCCAACCTCAATCTACCTTGCTCCTAACCTACAGGGTCGGAAAGCTTCATGAGGGGTCTGCAGGCCAACCGTCGCGAGAAACAGCTGCCCAACCGCCAATCGTCGCCGTTGCTTCTCACCTTGCTGCCTACATGCTCGTCAGCCAATCATCCTATCCATCTTCCAACGTAATTGACTCGACCATCGACCTGGAGTGTCCAAGTACCTCCCAAAAATCCGTACAAAAATAGTGGTAAAATAACAGTACAAACATATACAAAAACCGATGACCTGTTTTAAAAGGCTCATTGTCATTGCCCCATTTTTTACTTTGGACCGATCCCATCGATGTTCCGAACCGGTGCGACTTTGTGGCGCCCACGCCGCCACGCGCCGCCCTCCGAACGGCGGGAACCCACCGGTGTTGGGGCGAGATCAGCCGGAGCAAAAGCGATCGGAACGGAGTCGTCTTCGAACTGCAGGTGGGGAGAGTAAGTCCCAACGAAAGGTGATTTGGATGGTTTTTGGCCCTACCATCTCAGCGTTTTTGTTTTTGTTTCTTTTTTTTTCGGCCATGAGCGAGCTTCGAGAGGTGCGACGTCCCAAGATGGAGTTTCTAAGTGCCCAGGCGCCTGGCCGGGCGGATCTGGGATCTTGGGCCCGAAACAGGAGGTACCAAGGCCCCCAGAGAATGATTAGAATGAACTGCAAACTTTGGAAGACCCGGTTGAACTTTTTTGAACACTGAAAAAAGAATTCCCATCGTGCATCATATATCCTATCTACTAACATCTACAGTACTAATTCTTCATATTCATTCACCATGGTTTTTCGCTTGTTTTCCATTGCAACTTTAAACCTCCTTACCGCGTTTCAACTTGGACCCCCCAGGTGGAGGATTTGAACTGTGACCTGCCGGTCTTGAGTCATCCCAAAGATGCTAAACAGGTGTGGTATGGTGTAGTTGTTTGCTTGCATGGCCGCATTGCATAAGCCCAAACAATGCGGCTAGAAGATGGCCAATGCAATTCTGAACCTCTTTGAATTGGGGCCACAACAGTTCACGAGACCGGCACTACAAGTACCAGCGCCATGACACACCATCCGATGCCGAGGGGCGGTACATCTTGCTGAGCTCTGGTTGTTGCTGGCGCAGGGCTTCCTCGTTGAGATCTCCTCCACGCAAGCGATGCAGTTCCGCAGCCACCCCTCAGGCTCAACAGGGCAAATCAAGAATTCGGTGGATGGATGGATGGAAGGGATGGAAGGGATGGATGGATGGATGGGTGGATGGATGGGTGAATGGGATGGATGGATGGATAGCAAATGATAGCAGCTAACCACCACAATTTTTAGCTGGTACAGTATTGAAGTTGCTGCTGCAAGCAAAACAACTCGGATTTTCCTCAAAAGGACGGGAGCCCTATTGGTGGAACCGGAGTGCGGAAACTTCGGAAAGGGACTTTCCGCCAACCACAGGGTTCGGGTGTGCTGCTTTGTAGCGGTAAACCAAAGGCGCGGTAGCTTACCTATAGATGGGTAGCTCTGATGCATTCTGCTGATGGTTCTGGAGGTGTTGCATAACCTTCCAAGCACTTGGACGTGTTGCAGGAGAGTGTCGACACATGGGTGGCTAACATGTCGAACGACACGGCCCATCGATCCCAGTGGGTCCCATTGGGCGACCGAACACACACATATCTTAGATCACATCTCTACTCATCTCTCTGACCTGCTCCATTTCACAGCTCAAGAAATGTCCAACAGTCAGGTGTTTGGGGTATTAATTCTAGTTCATTCTCGGAGCCTGTGGCTTACCTGTGCTGGTCGAGTGGTAGAAGCACCACCGTTTGGAGGCATCTTCGGAGGCTGGAGATTGCACGAACCAAAAAAATAGAGTAGCTTGTCCTGGTGGCGGCTGCATCTCTTGCAGTATTTCAGGCACTGCCAAGATGTGAATTAACCATGGCAAGTACTCCATTCACCACGGTTCGCTGGTCATTTTAAAGCTCTTTCAGTTGACGTTTCCTCAAAGCTGGAGCGATCCCCGTCTGGGAGTCCAAGGTGAACCTATAGAGGAATCTGGACTATA